ATGTTTTCTTAATAGCTAACCTGCAGATGGTAAAATAGTGCCCTAATCTAATTATTTAATTACACAGATACTACTAAAAAACAGTTTAAATTCTTTGATTTAATTTTCAACTACTTATAAATATCTGTATTCATAAACTTAAATTTTTATATTCCTTTTGTCTATTTTTATCAATTCTCTTACCTTTTACACATTTTTTTAAGTTATTAGGTGGTGGTAGGAGAGCTTTAAGGTTCACAGCAATCTGAGCTAGTAACAAACATCAAAGTAATTTGACAGAGAATATTAAAATGAATAATTTTTAATGGTAGCCATATTTTTTTTTTAATACCAACAGGCCATATTTAACTGGAAAACAAAGAACAAGCTTAAAAATGATGGCTAGGGGATTTTTTTTCCTTGTTTGTTTTTTCTCTTCTAGGATTTGGAAAGCTTTTGATTTGGCTTTTTGGTTTTTTTACTGAATATTAAAATATTCATATATTTGGGTACCTGCTCTGTGCCAATTATCATTCTAAGTGTGGGAGTTTCTGCGATGAATCAGTCAGATGTGTTATCTACCACTGTATACACACATTTCACACAAATGGTTAAGTGTCTTCTCTGAGGACAGAAGACTCTAAAGGAAACAAAGCATCCTTCCATGTACCCATTTGTTGTGATATTTACAAAAAAAAAAACCCAAAACCCCAAAACCTGGAATTTAAATAAAGACTTTTTAAAAAATCAGACCAGGGCGCCTGGGTGGCTCAGTTGGTTAAGCAACTGCCTTCGGCTCAGGTCATGATCCTGGAGTCCCGGGATGGAGTCCTGCATCATGCTCCCTGCTCAGCGGGGAGTCTGCTTCTCCCCCTGACCCTCCCCCCCCATGCTCTCTCTGTCATTCTCTCTCTCAGATAAATAAAATCTTTAAAAAAAAAATCAGACCGTATTTTTAATACATTGACATTTGCTTATTTTAAATGATTAAGTTGCTTTATGGACCTATATAACAGGAATAAAATTGTATTCTTGGCATTCAGTTAAAAATATTCAAAAACTTATTACAATGTATATTTTATTTTTATTCTAAATAAGCTACATAAAATAAGTAGCTTTATGTACCCCTCATTTAACTTTCATTTTCAAAATATCATTATATCTTTGTGTATTTAAAATTGTACAGAACAACACGTTGATGGTGTGTTTACTACTTAATATACAGTCTGATTTCTAACGAATATACCACCAATACCTACCATAGGCCATAAAATTTGGGGGCACAAAATTTTGTAATCCGTATTTGATGTAAATCATGAGTTGATAGGATGGCCTAGTTCAGTAGTCAGATTTTTGGCTTATTTAAATACTTTTCATTTTCTCTTCATACATTCTGGAATCTGTAAGCCCTGATACTCATGTAAAAACAAAACACTTGTTTGAGACTATATGTATGAAAGACATCAGAATGAGTTCAATTTTGCTTGAACTCTTTTGTTGATGGGAAAACGAAAGAGGTACCGTGGGTATTTTTTACAGGTTTGATGTGTAATTGAGTCCATGCACTTAGAAATTAAAGCATTTTTGACCAGTGGTCACAGCCTTTATAGGAATATTACATGGCATGACTTAACATAAACATATTTTTTAAGTGTCTGCTCTACTTACATATTCACCTGTTGATGTAACAAATTAGGCACAGCTGATGGATTTTGATAATAGCAGCTGTCAACCTCTGTTAAAATCAATCAGGGGCAAGACTGTATATATTAAATCCTGTATCATGTCATGAAAATTTATTTACAATTTAACCACTAATAAGCGTAACTGTCAGCTTGCTGTTGATAGTGCCATGATGTGTTTTGGCTCTGGGTATCTTTCTTGTATGCTAATTTTTAATTTAAAACTTTGTGGCATCTTTGAGAAAAACTTTCCAAGTGCTTTAAAATACGTATTTTTTTTAATTACTATTACCTAGAGTTGAATATTACCTTGAAAATACCCTACATTTTTTAGTTCTCTTAACTTTTTTTTTCCTAAAGATTTTATTTGTTTATTTAACAGAGAGAGATCACAAGTAGGCAGACAGGCAGGCAGAGGGAGAGGGAGAAGCAGGCTCACCGCTGAGCAGGGAGCCTGATGCAGGGGCTCGATCCCACGACCCTGGGATCATGACCTGAGCCGGAGGCAGACGCTTAACCGACTGAGCCACCCAGGTACCCCATAGTTCTCTTAATTTCTTAAGAATGAGGCTACTTTTTTTTTTAAACAAGTATATTAGAATTTGTATTTCCAAATGACTATTCTTTAAAAGTAGTCCTATTGGCTAATTTGCACATTTATGCCAGTGATGCATCCGTTAATGGAAGCCATCAGACCTGTTTTGATATTGATTTTAAACTGTATTTTTAACTACCCAAGAATATAATTTTATTGCTTCTAATAATTTATACCGAAAATTTGACCAATGAGCTTATTTCACTAGACTTGGCCTTTGAGTGGTTTCAGTTTTTAAAACCTAAATTATTCCTCCTTCTTCTTTTCTATGGACACAGATTTTTCACCACCGAAATGATTCAGGAGACTCCATCCCACACATTTGTCCGGTTAACCTTTTTCATTCAAGTTTAAATCATATTTTTTCTTCAAGAATTTTAATGGTCCCTATTGCCCACTACCAAGCTCAAGTTTATCCCCATTCCACTATTGCTGACCACCAATTTTTCTAGGCCCTGTGTTTGCTGACCTTACCAGTAAAAGGCAGTGTCTCTATCTTTTTGGGTTACACAGCATCTGCCTTACCAGTTTATACAGTCTAGTCAATGTGAGCATTATCTTCCTCCTCCTTGATGCAGAATTTCTTCAAGGCAGGGACCGTTCCTCATTCATTTTTCTCCCCTCACTGCCTAACCCAGAGCCTGGTACATAATATACCCTCAGTAAATGTAGAACAGAAAGTGTTACAGGCTCCGAATTCCATTCCAAAGAAAAGTTGTGAAACTTAAAAGTAAGCATACTCAAAGTGTGTCAGAAGGTACTAATTCAAATAAGACTTTTTTTCTTTTTTAATCTACTCACATTTTAATCTTCCTTTTATTCTTAGTCAATAGCTCTTTTCCATTCTCCCTGAAAAGTTAGATTTGAGAGGGGAGGTCACAGGAGCTGCAGTCCCTCACAGCTAGGGGGCAAGTGATGGCTCAATGTGATGGGCAGCTGACTCTGAACCATGCTGAAGCCAGTAATTAGTTCACTCAACTAAACGTAACTGGTTTTCAGCACATGTGTCCGCATAACTGACTGTCCTCTTGGGTCTGGGTGTTCAGGGAGTAGAACTGGCAGGGGCCTCGTAAGTTATATGATGCCATCTGATGAGAAAACTGAGGAGGAATTACTAAGATGAAAGAGCAAGTTAGAGGCAGAGTTAGCACTGGGACTGAGGTTTCCAGCCTCCCAGGATACGGTAGAGCACCTTTACTCTTCTAGCCGTCTGTGTGCTGCTCCCCTAGCCTGCTGGCAGAAGTATCCATTTCTTGCTCTCTAGGATGCAGAGGACTTCATGGGCTTGGTGCTGGCCATCTGGTCATCCATCAGCTCACCATTATGAGGGTCCATTTGATTAGATTCTGTACACAGTGGCTTCAATAACTGCCACATACTTCTGACAACAGAGCCCAGAAGATGGAGACTGAGTCACTAAAATTCCAACAGCGTCTTCCTCCCAAAAACAGCGTTGCAGTGAGCTTCATGATACTGTATACTGTACATATGCCCTGTTGTTTTATCTGTATTGTATTAGTTATCTTCACAAATATGAATTAAATTTAATATTGAACATTAAAATCTATATAAGTTGTTTTTCTGTTTTCCAGTAAGTTTCTTGGTCGTCCCTTTTAGCTACTTCCTATTACTTCTCTAACTCTAGATAAAATAGGAGTAACTTACTTAATCTTAGTTGGCTCTTTAATGAAATCAAAATGAAGATTTTTAGGCCTCTTTATAATGAGCATATATACTACTTTATCTGGAGGTATTTTAATATAGCAACTTCAAAATTATCTAATTAAAGATATTTCCTAATGTAATGTTTCTAAAAGGTTAGTGAATAACATTACTATTATTATAATAACTAGTAAGTACTTTGACCGGAAGTTCTCTATTTTGTTTTACCTAAGCAGACATTTGCCACATAGGATTTGAAGGAAGGATGCTTAAAGAGAAACCCAGATACAGAGACACAGCTGTGGGCCATGGGCCTTCAGGGCATCCAGCAGATCTCAGTCATGAACAAGATTATGTCAGAGACTGTGCCACTGGGTCTGTAGTTTTCAGAGTCTGAAGTAGATCGCACTTCATCCTGTGGTCAGTGACTTCTGCCACATTTCTGAAAGCCCAGTTGCTTCAGGCATTGTATTTTCATTAAACTTCATTTCCTATATTGACAGTTTTTTTACATTCAGTGTCTACAAGGAACATTTGTTGAATGCTTACTTATGTGCCATGCCCAATTTTAACACAGTTATGTCATTCAGATCTTTTAATCCTCTTATGAGGTAGGTTCAGTTATCCCCATTTTTCTGACGTGGAAACTGAGGCACAGAGAGGTTAGGTAATTTGGCCAATGTCACATACTTAGCTAGTGAAGGAGGGGAGTGTAAACGCAGAGAATCTGATGCGAGGTCATCCTCTTGACCATTATGTCACACTGCATCTTGGAAAACCTTTATCTTGGGTTTTGTGACAATTACATGTTTAGCTTAATTTCTTTGATGGTGGGAGTGGAGGCAGACAGAAAGGGAGGGTCAGGGGCTGGAGCCAGAGGCCTCTGAGGGCTGAATTAGAATTCAGTACGCCTTCAGAGAGTGTTAGTGGCCAGAAAAGGATTGAGACCTTCCACATTAAGGAAATACTTAGCTTAATTTCCATCTGGATCATTAGAGTTCTAACTTACGACATTTTAATCTTCATAACTTCATGGTCTATAATTCATGAAACATTTTTGATAAATTCTTTTGTTTCTACAGAAACTCAAACAGAAGAATCAACAGCTGAAGCAAATTATGGATCAATTACGAAATCTCATCTGGGATATAAATGCCATGTTGGCAATGAGGAACTAAACTGATATTTAAATTTCCTGCTTTACACGTTATGCCATTTTTCCCCCTCAAGTGTTTTTTCCCTTTGAAGAAGATTATTTATCTGCTTTTATTCTACTCACTAGAATTAAAGTTCCTATTTTTACATTGCAATTTTATATTAAAGTATTCATTGGCAGTTTTTTTTAAGCTATTGATTCTATGGAAGATTATTGTAATAAACTTTGATAGGGCTTATGTTTTGGTTAATCTTCATGAATTGAATTCTTTAAGCAAAATAAGTTTTGTAAATAAATTTTTCAATTTGATCAATGGTGGTTTTGCTCATTTTATTACCCTTTTAGGAGAGTTAAAGGTTTAAACATTTTTGGAAATGAAAATACCAAGTACAGTCTATCCGTGGTACAAACTAATTAAAATTAAACATGTAAGTCTCCATTTCAACTCAATTCTTTTTTAGAGTCCCAAACAGGTTAAAATGAGAAAATAGTTAACCTGTATATTGCTGTAAATAGATGAAAATTACTTTTACCATGTGTTCCATGTGTTGGATCTTAACTAGAATGACCTGTCTCTAACAGGACAGAACGAAATAACTTGAGTCTGGCACAAATGGAAATCACAACTATGTGCTTCTGTGCTCCCTGCCTTAGCCTAAGAGCAACACCCTAGCTGATGCTTTCAGATACACCCTAAAGTAATCTTGAGTGCCTTTTGGAAACCGTAAATTTTTAAGAGTTTTAAATGAGATAGCTCTATATGACAAGTGCTTTTGTAGACTGGTAGTTGGTCTATACTAAGTCCTTCATGGGTCTGCCTACAGGAGCTAGTCTCTCAGATTATAAACAATGTATCCTCAAATAAGAGATGCAGATTTTCAGACTGATCCAGAAGCCCCTATCTATCTTGCCTGGTTCTGACTCAATAATAAATACTGCTATTCAGCTTCTACTGTATATGGACAAAGTGTCTCTGGAAGGTTACACAAGAAACTGGAAACCAACTTCCTCTGGGGAGAGGACCCTGGGTGGTTGAGGATGAGGGTAAAGAAGATGCTTACTTTTCACTGTACACCCTTTGGTGCCTTTGAAATTTATAGCATGCAAATACCACCTATTCAAAAAATAGGTGAAATTTCATTTTAAGTTATATAGATTCCCAACTATACCAAGTGGCAGAAGCATAAGAAAACAAGCCTAATCATGTACATGGGCATCTTTAGACCCCCTAACTTATATTTGTCAAAACAGTTGTCCCGGGCAAGCCCAATGTTAGCCAGATGAGGAGTTAACTGCCCACACTGGGAGGCACTGCAGTTCCCAGCACAGGTAAAGTCACAGGAAGCCAGGACAAGGACAAGAATTAGGACCGATAGATAATCCAGTCTACCTCAGAAATCGGCAGCAGTATCTGAGGGTATTAGATTTTATCTAGCCTAACACCAATTGGACATGCAAGCTTTTTACAGATGTTCACGACTAGTACATTCTTTGCGTGGTAGATTGCTGGTTACTATTGCAAATTTAGTGCTTGGGTATTGACTAACCAAGCAGTCATAAAAATTGTTTAACCGAATGGTGTTTTGTTGTTTTAACTGTCACACTCAATGCCTTAGATCATTCAAGGTGCCACAAACTCAGCTCTCGGAGGGAATGTGGAAATCGCATCTTTTGGGCCTCAGTTCTATAGAGAGTATCTCCTCTGCGGAACAACGGTCAATGCAGATACACTCCGCCACAGGGCAGTAGCCCCACATTCTGGGCGTGTGCTTTCAGCCCTCAGAACTCAGGCGGTTTGCCCAGTTACAAGTCTACTCGGGACCAGTTAGGACTGTGTTGGGGGTTATTAAACACATGGACCCCACTAACCCTGAGAGTTCCAGCTTTCTCTTGAGGGATAGCATGCCAGTAAGCAGACTGACGAGCCAGAAAGGCAATTCGGTTGTGACGTGTAGCCTTGGGCAAGTCAATCTCCGTTTTCTTGTCTGTAAAAGGATACATGGCATTTTGATCTGTGTTAGAATTTCACTTGCAAATGTTAGAAACCCAATTCAAATTGGCTTAAGCCAAAGGGGATTTATTAGTTCCTGTAGTAAAAGAAAGGATGCCAGGAAGAGAGGTCACAGGATCAAAGAAACTCTGCAGGAACTCAGGCTTCGGGAATTAGAACCCAGGATTCTCAGTGCCTCCTCTAATTTCTGCCGGCTCTCTGCTCCATTCTCTCTACTGCAGATAGGCTTTCTCCAAATAGTGGGAAAGATGGCTTTCCACCTTTACATCTTTTCTATACCCTAACCCCCAAGGCTGGGCCACTTTTCCCATTTTAAATGGAGAATTCTAGTGGACCCTGATTAGCACAGCTTGGAGCCTTATAACCAACCTTTGGACCAACCGTTGCATATGGGGTACTATGATTAGACTGAGCCAGGTTATGAGCCCATCTCTGCAGCCAGGAATTGGGTGTGAGAGTCATGGAAACGTTATCGAGCAGGTAACAAATATTAGGGGGAAAAGGCACCAATCAGGAAAAAACAAAACAATGGCAAACAGTCCACTGATGCTCCCTCTTCCTTAGTTACACTACTACCTTAAATAATGAGTTATTAAACTCTCAAAAAAAACCCACGAAGAGTCTACAGAAAACCAAATGCATTATTCACTACCATGAGAAAACTATTAAAATGTTTTCTGGAATTTGCGGACTTCTGTGTTGACATCTTTCTTTGCAGCTGTTTCAATTAATGACAGTGTGATCTTGTCAGGTCTGGGTTAGCCTAGCTTGGGTGAAAGCAGAGGTAGGAAAGGGCTAAGAAAATAAAATGAAAACCCCAGCATCCTGGTAATAAAATTATCTTTAAAATGATTTGGAAACCTAAGGCCCTGACCAAACAGTAGATCCCTTGGCACCATTATGAGCCAAAATGTGTTAACTTGACATTTTGATGTAGTTCCAGTTTGAGTAATTCATTTTATTTCCTTCAATTCCCAAAGAAGTTTAAGCTAGATAGAGGAGTCTTTCAGCCTTAAACTAAAATGTGTGCTTGTCCCGCAGCTCATAGAGTTTGTTATCCTGAGTGTTCTTAAATTTGTCCAACGTAACTGAATGCCTTAAAATTTTTTCTACTCCTGGAAGACATTTGTGGACCAAGGGCTGATTTTTTTTTTTTTAAGCATAAATCGAAAGGTATTCCAGATGCATATATATTTTTTTGACATGGTAGCAGTCTTGAATTCTTTCACATCTTTGTAACTTAAAGAATTAGATTTATTTAAGACTTAAGTTTATATTTTCACATAGGCTTAAATTATGCACTAATGCATTTACATCAGTAAACGTATGCACTGATGATTCACACTTCATCAATGCATCAATTTTTTTGAAAAATTCTTACTGTTGTTAATTTGTATCTGCATTCCAAAACTAAACTATTTAGACATTTACAAAGAAAATGTGAACTTGTATTTTCTCTGTACTTTGAGGTCTTATTCTTCTATGACACAGGAACACAAGACCACTGAGGGGCACGCTCCATGTTGGAACTACCACACCTGTTTGAACTTACTCAGATGTCTGTTTGTGGCAGCATTCGCTTCTAGTTTAGTGCGGACAAGAATCACAGGGGTACACTTTTTTTAAATGCAGATTTTTGGAATTACCACAAATGTACTGAATCGAAATGCCTAAGGTAAGGCCTAAAAATCTGCATATTAAACAAGCTTTCCAGGTGATCTACCACTGACACTGGAAAAATATTTTTCTATGCAGTTTAGTGATAGTCATTTTGAGTATTTTTATATGAAAAACTGTTCAAAAATAGCTATATTAAGGTAAAACAAAAGGCATTATGCCACATTAAGACTTATAGCCTTTTGAGTATTTAAAAATAATATTCTATTGTCAGCAGTTCTCAACCTTGGCTGCACATTAGAATCAACTGGGGAACTGTTAAAATCCCCTGTGCCAAGGCCACAGCCCAAAATTAAATCAGAATTCTGGGGTGAGATCCAGGCATCAATGTGTTTTAAAGCTTCCCAGGTGACCCCCATGTGTAGCCAAGGTAAGAACCATTGCTATATGTTGATTCATATGTGCTGTATGTGGAAAGGATCTTGAGCAGTTGATTTTCTAGTAATAAACATTTGGAGCAAAGAACTTCAAGAGGTCAAAATCCTAAAACTCACCTACACTCAAAGGTATTTTTGCAAGGATACCTAATTCTACACTCCTGGATGTCAGAAGCAAAGAACCCTCACTCTCATCATTCACAAGCATACTGCCACTCAGAGAAAAACTAGAGGATGCCATCCAGTCAACAACTCTTATAGGCAAAGGGAAAGAGGGGAACTGATGCATGGTCTTCCATCCTCATAGGTCATAATACTTCCAAGACATTAAAGAGGTCGAGTGAAGATAAAAGGAAGACAACATTTCTCTTTGTTCCCTATTCCATGCTGAAAATGGCCATATCTTCTTTTAGACTGATAAAAATAACCAACCTGGATTTATAATTTACTCATCTAAGAGTCATTTATTGATCACCTCCAGACTCCAGGCACCAGGGTAGGAACTGGGTATACCAAGATGGAAAGGACGCTTCACTCAAAGGCATGGAATACAAGCTAGAAGAGAGCTGTTCCTATGTACAAAACTCTAATTAGTCAGGGGACTTCCACACATTCACAAGATGAATGCTCACCAACCAACCCAAAGAACCAATGAACTCTGTGGAACTCTTATTCCACTGAGACTTGCATTTTCATAATGCCTGTAGAGCAAATTACAGAGCTCAAATTAGAGCTCTCCTTCCCATGAGATACCACATAAAAATTGTATCTATGGAGTTAAAAAGTTCTATTGTTGTGTATGCCCAGAACTGTTTAACAGTCTAACTTAGGGTAAAAGATACAAGAAGGCAACACTCTAAAAATGTTCAACTCCGGAAGATGAGAATGTAGCACAGATTTAATTGCAATAAGGTGAGGGAAATAGTTTTCAAAACAGCTTTCAGAGGGGGAAGAAAAGTCATTTGTGAAAGCTCAGTACTTAAAATCTACAGATGGCATAGCTAACAAATAAATCAATTAAAGAATGCAAAGTGTGAACAGAAACATAAATGTGAATTAAAACCATACAAACTTGAAGTTATGTATGAAGTAAGTATTTTAACCACTGGCACTAAAATTTTAAATTGAATTCTCTGATGAAACAGGAAACTGGTATAATTGCCTGAGTAAAGGGTGATTTGAGAATTACAGCTGGTGGGGGGAAAAAATGTGTTTCTGGGTTTTGAATAGACAGT